AAAAAAAAAAAAAAATTAAATTAATTATATTTGTTTAGTACTGGCAGCCTGATAGATATACGTAGCATTTAATTTTTATTCCAATGTTGGCATGAATTTTTAAAAACACTACCATCATTTAGGGCGTGGGAAGAGGCTGACGTTGTTTTTATTGAAGTTAACAATAGACGATTATTGTTTAAATTTAAATTCAGTTTGACAATGATTAAGTAGCAGTACTCAATGGCATGTAATGATGCTATTCACGCTAATATACATACACTAGAACAAAAAACAATTCCATGTCATTTTAAACAACGTAAATTCATTCGAAATCGACAACTAATCGCTTGTTCGACCGCACTATGGGTAATATAGAAAGCATTTTGAAAAATAAAAAATGCTCGTAAAGTTTAAGAATAAAGTCGGTTACCGCTTTGTGTAAACGTCGCAGAGTTTTGTAGAAGGAGACATAAAAATAATGAATATATTTATTCAAAGCGATCGTTTCTATTCAAAAGTTTACTAATATAAACGTCATATTGAGCTAAATAACGGCATTATTTTTTCTTGAGCGCCGGCCTCGCCTCTACCGATATACACTCTACCGTTCGGATAAAATATATTGTAAATATATTTTATATATAAATTTATAATTAAGTCCTTTAATGTTTTGTAATTTACTTTGTATTAATCCTTTTTTGTCAAATACATTTCTTCAGGCATAAAAAAGCAAGAACAGTACACCAGTTTGAATTATAATTTCACTTAGAGCATCTTTAAAAAAAATTGGGTTCCCAAAAGCGTAGTGTTTGTTCGTACCTATACATTGGTAACAGCAGGCTTAGACACACCGGGTTTACGGCGCGCACGTGTTGTTCCCGAAGCCGAGGAGATATAGTGCTGAGGCCAAAACAAGGCCAGTGCAGTTGAATACATATCTGTATCTGCATACATATACTGAAATATAGTCGCTATTGTACTGTCAGATTGTTTTTATTTATAATAATACAAATGTGGTAAATAAGTAGTAACTTTGTTGTTGCAACTTTGCTTAATCGTAACATTGACGTCACAGTGTAGAACAAGAGGCCGGCAGAACTGTCACGGACGTTTCCTCAGAGCTCAGGCCGGCCGCAATACCGCTCGTAACTCGACACAACGGCCGCGCTTACGGCCGGCTGAAGGCCGTGCTAAAGGCCGAGCCGTGTAAGTTGTGGGAGGAAGCGCCGTCGGAAGGCCCATGGACGGCGCAGCCTGCTTTAATTACCCCCGCAACCCACTTCTCCCCCGCACAGATAATAAATACGCGCTCGCACGCGGCAAACTGCGACTTTGACGGCTCATATTGTGCTTCTCAAACTGTTCACTTGTGCATTTGTCGCTTGTTGTTGAGTACACTTGTTCAAAAGCGATCAGGGTACATAGTCTCGTCGTCAGTGAGTTTTATGCAGAAATCGAAATCACGTTAAGTTCTGTACAAATATGCAAATGCTTGTACCGAATTCATTTTGTTGTATTTTGTATAATCATAACAGTTTGATGCGCGATGACCACTAGCTTTGATCGGTGATCGTCTGCCTGATATGTATTTACAATAATTACAAGTCAGCAGTCACCGGCGCTGGTATTATTCTTGGCCCCTCTGTTACATGACTACACTGTACCCGCTTATGTTACATGATCGAGCCAATTTTAATTATCGTAGCAGTTTTAATGTAGTTTAAGCTCTGTAGAGATTAAAATCGGTAAAGTTAATCTTGAAGTCGAGTCCATTATCTCATTATTGAACGCCGGGATCTTTATGACAGCTTACACTATGCCGTTAACAGACGCGTTTAAATTGTGTATCATAAATGATTAACTGCCCGTGATTTTATGTTCCAAGGTCCACAGGGTCAAATATACCCCGCGCAAGCTCGCTAGCCAACTGACACGTCCTGTCACAAGCGGACAAACAAACAAAACAATGCTGTCCGCAATCACTCATTCCTCTTGAAGACGTGACTCCAAAATGATGACGAATTTACAATTTTTAAAATAAACTAAAAATCCTTATTACGATGCAGTAAAGTCGTTGATTGGCTTAATGGGATGCATCGCGGTTTGGTTTTTGTGCAATTTTAGATCGTAAAATGGGTAATTTTCGCAGCCGCCATGATGGATCTGTCATCACGCGCGACCGCTTTATGGCGCCAAATTATACAGGGCGACGCGCTGCGGCTATGCGCAGGCGCACCGTTTTTCTCGCACTCTACCTGATCAGAGCCAAGAGTAAATTGGGTTAGTGGATTTAATTTAATATGAGTATTATACATTAATATTGTAGTCATCTGCTTAATTGATAAAATTACATGAATACAAGATGCTTCAAATATTTCCATAGAATTTTTCGTCTTAGCACAGAGTCTAACGTATAATAGTCAAATTGTGAATTGACCACGTGTCTCTGGTATAAGAGATCCGCCAAGTATCCTGCGTCGGATTTGAAAAAGGCTCCGATACTTTATGGTCATAATAAAGGAGATATAGTTCTCATGCCGCGGGCCCTGCGCCTCTGCCTGCGCCTGCTTACAAATAAAAATGTCATTTTATTGTCAGCCGTCGACGGAGGAGGTTGTGTTGAGATGTATAATTATGGAGAGATAATGAACGTCAGAATTTTTAATGGACTTCGAGACAGGGAATTTAAAATTTGCATGCAACAAGCAAATACGTATGTCTAAAAGGTAAAATTATTGATCTAATGTTAGTATTAAACAAAAATCGAAACATGTTTTTACTACCAGAACATAACAGTATTTAGGCTAATTGATATTAAAATGGTTGAATAACAAACATAGAAGTTGTAAAACAAAAATCTTTTAAGGTCTAAGCGTTTCGTGTCAAATATTTTATATATTTTTAAATAAATATTTCGAAAAAAAATGCAAGATCAATTAAATAAATAGGTAATTAATTAAGACGGTATGCCGAAGATCTCCGGCCTTGTAGAGAGGTCAATGTCCTGCGACGTGACCTGCGAGAGGCGTCACCTGTATTGTTCGCATAATGAACAACTTAATCTTATCCGATAGTACTTTGTGAATTTTGCCGAATAACATTTTAAAATTCATTGCTTAAATTAATTTTTAAATTGAGAAACATAAGTAAGTAGATTGCATACGTTTTATTGATAAAATGTCCAAATCAATTTAAGAATCCAGTCTTGTTTATAAAATTAAACAAAACTTATGATTATGGAAAATATTACATATTTCCTGATTTGACATTTTTTTAGTAAAAATCAAAGCTTCGCTATTTTATTAAGGTCTCATATGCGTTAGTTTTGATATGATAAAATAGAAAATCAAATTATAACACTAAGATCACCCCTGTTCATAAATGTAATTAGTTTCTTCAATTGTCGATATGTTATTACATTTTAGGAAAGATCACAAGATATAAAATTAAATATATGGGTTTATATAATTACGAATACATAGGTAATTAGAGTTAAAACCGAGCAGCCTTCATTCGCAAATACCAGGAACGTAACGTGTCTTGTTTATGACATGGCCGACATGTTATTATGAAGAACTATAAAAATGTGAATCGACTCATCAACAGTTAGTTCGATTCCCCGGTCGTAAAGTCAGCCGGTCGTTAAAATGAACTGTCCACCTCGCTCCTGAACCCACGGATGCCGAATAAAATTATATTGGCGAAAAAATATTAAAACCACGGTCATAAAACGATATCAGGATTTGTGAGTCAATATGTACTTGCTCACTCTTTACGCATTTCCTTAAGGTTTACATCTTTAAGTCTATGTCGCGTATAAATTTATAAACAGCTTCAGATGAACTGTGTTCTTCTTTTTGCATAATATTATAAATTCCTAATTAGGTAACTAACAAAGCTATAATGTGACGGTGATTTCGGATTTTAAACCTTTATTTAGGAGAAAAGTAAAAAAGATTCTATATGGCAATAACTTTATATTTATACTTGTAGTATAAAAAAAAGTTTATCAAAACCTTGAATCTAATTTGCTAAATATTTTAAAATATTATGCAAATTACTAGTGAAATTAGCTTAACATAAAGGTCGACGCGAGCTATTCTAACTTTAATTTAGTTCAAAACCTTCTATTTTATTTCTATTAACCTTCACATGAGTAAACTTAAACATAACACAAGCACGGCGTGTGCAATTATTCGCAGAAGAACATTACGCAGCGCCCCTCGCGCGGCGCACCGCTCCCCGCCTAAGAATAAATAAGGCATTTCGCTACAATGGCGACTTCGGAATAAAGAAGCGAGCAACAAAGCGTAGGCACAACCACTGGTCATAACGAAAGTGAGTTGCGCGGGAAAACGTAGCGGGTGTGTGCGGTGGGCGGGGCGCGGCGTGCGGGGGGCGGGGCGAGCGCGCACCGGCACCGCCCCCCGCCCCCCGCCCGCCTCGTAAGAGCGGGACGCAGCGAGTGCACGCCGCTGCAAGGTCACGTCGCAACCACACACTGTTTTGATTTCACTCGCTATTTCACCTCTATGACTTTTTATTTTTTTTTATTGTAAAGGGTAGCAGACTGATGAAGCCCTTCAATTTGTTTCCTAATGTCCGAGTGTCAATGTTTCTTATACTTAAAAAGTATTTTTACGTTCATAATTTGCGAATGATTTAATTACATTTCGGAATATATAAGTTTAAAAAAATATAAAAGAAGAACAAACGATAGAATAAATATATTTAGATTTTGCACATAACAGATGGCTTAATGATTGAAATTATATTAAGTTTGCTTTTACTTGTTAGCTTTAATTTAACGAATACAAAACAATAAAAATAACTTTAATAATTAATAACAAATTGAATTAAAATAGTTTTTTTTTACTAATTATTAATCAAAACACTGTAATAATGCAATAATCATAGCAAGGCGTTGCAAAAACAATGTTTTTGTTATTGCGTTTGTCCGCGCGGCGCTAGTGTGACGCAGCGGCGGCGGAGCGAGCGCGGCATTCCGGCCGCGGCGCGCGCCTACACTGCACGCGCGCTCGCGATCTAAAACGATACAACGCGATACGACGCGCGCTCCCGCCAAACTTAGTGACCGTTGACGAGTGCCAGTGATGTGACCCTTGTTTGTGCAAATTGCTTTACGTTACTAAGTTTTCTACAACATCATACGTGCCGTGGATGCAAGAACAAAAGTGTTATTGTAGAATTCCAGAATTCTTTTTATGTATGTCATAAACAAATAGTCGAAAAACAAAGGATACTCGAGACGAGCGTTGCTTGCTTAGGTGCGAGTGACAGGTGGAACTTTGTGCACTCGCCTGTCCACATATCGAGCTCTCTTCAAACATTGAGGTAAGAACAAACAGCAACGCGCCACTCAACTCGCTCTACACACATCTCTACGACTCTAGCTCATATTTTTAATTGTTAAAAAGATATAGAAACTTTAGTAAAAGTTGTGTAAGATTTTTTATTTTTGATAAAAGTTTATTTAGGTGCAAGTTTTAAAGCTGAAAAGTTGTGTGTAATTCAGTGCTTGCGCGACGGCGACGGGCGCCGGTGCTGCGCCACGTGTTTTTGTCCCACTTCATATCAAAGTTAAAATAAAATGAAGTAAAATAATGTGAAACGTTTATTTGAATTAAAATAAACTTTGTATTGTACTATATTCTCTTAGCCACAATTTTTATTTTATTTTTTATCTATTAGACAGACGTTGTAATTAATAAAATTGTAAAATGAGACCGTTTTACCATATTATTTATTGTATCTTAAATAAAGCAAATGTGTAAGATAAACAAAAATATACTAAATTGTAATAAATAATGATTTTTCTAAATGATTATAATATGTTACAAAATAAAAAAAAATAGTTCATACATTCACAAAATTAATGAATTTGAATCAAATATCATCTAATGAAAATAATAAAACATATGTCTCTTATCAAACGTTTTATTTCAAAACCAATTTTTTAAGCCTAAAGTTAATAAACGTTTGAGTTGAAGTTAACTATTGGATTAAAGTTTATTTTATGCATAGTAATAATGTATAATAATAATGAATAGTAGCACATAGTATATTTTTTGCCAATCCGCCATCTTTAGTTGTGTGCAGTCGAGTGCTCGCTGCGGGGGGGGGGGGTGAGATGCGCGGGGAGCCGCGAGAGCGGGACGACTATAGTAAATACAAATGATAGGCGGTTCACATCTTTAAGTGAATTTCAAAAATTTAATTTTAATTTAAAAGAATTTAATAAAGAGGAATAAAAATAGTTTTATTTATTTAACAATCAGGGGTCAATGACATGCTCTTTTATATTATTTTTCTTTTGTTTTTAAATAATTAACACTGGTAAATGTTCTTGAATTTTTTAGTAATTATTATTGAAAACAGCTAAAATTAAATCAGTAAATACTGATGTATTTTACTTAATATTTGTATTATATTGAATTTGATAATATTTTATGTCAATTTTGATGAACAACGAAGCTACGACATATATCCCAGGCGATGGACATTGATATTAAAAATAATTTTGATAGCTGCTTCTCTTATTCGCAAATAAATGTAATTATTTCTATTTTATCAAGTCGTAATGATGTCATAATTTATCAGACGTGCTGAATAATATGCCGAGAAGAAAACTATTACTTACTATATGAGAAAATCCACGTAAAACACACATAGTTTTGATCTGATTATGTATGGGATGTCGAAACAAAGACACGCGTGCCATAGGTTCTGAAATTTTGAGCATGTTTCTGGTCACAAAAATTCATGCATTATGACAAAAGAATATAATATTGTGAGGCGACAACTCTAGTGATCTCTATATGCTACGACATGAAATGAAAGTTCGTCATCCCATTCAACTTAGACTTAGAATCTATAACTTATCCCAGTTGCTTCAAGAGATGACATGTATGCGAACATGTTTATGTACAAGTGTTGCTTCAATAAAAACACGATGCATTGTTTTTGTTACTAATCTTGTCATGATATACAAATAACATCATTATTTATTATATCTTTAAGTTTGAAAGTAGCGCCAGTGATCGAGAAATTGAGGAGTAAAAGATTAGCGTGGTTTGGACATGTTATGGGGAGGGATGATGATGATATAAGCAAAAAAGTAATGAGATTGAATGTGGATGGCTACAAGGGTAGAGGAAGACCAAAAAAAGTATGGAATGACTGTAAGAGGATATGCGTAAGAAGGGGGTAGACTCGGATATGACGGCTGATAGAGATGTATGGAGGAGTAGTGCATGCTGTGCCGACCCTCGATAGAGATAAGGGCAGGTTGATGATGATCATTAATTCTGCACAAAATAAGTTACGATTTTTTTCCTTGTTCTCGCGACATCATAAATACACCTTAACAACTATAGAATTCTAATTATTGACAATTTCCTTAACTAATAATCTAATTATAATGTTTGGAATTCTAATAACACTTTCATAAGTTAAACAAACTGGATATTTAAATATAACGAATCAATAAATAGAATAATTTCCATTAAATTTGAATACGATATTGTATCGGGGGCTCTATATTTCGCGTATCCATTAGAGCGTTAAAAAATGTACGTAAAATGTTGTTTAAATTCGCAAGAGATTAATAAACGTGCTTGGGTCTGACAATAGTTTCATAATGTTCATAAAAAAAAAGGTTTTTTTTATTTTTTACCTGTGAATTGAGTCTACAATTGTCTGATTTGTTCATTCAATAATTGATATGTAACATAATAAAACATACACTCAAGAAATATGACGATTTAAATCTTATATAAAAAATTATCGTGTCACAATTTTCGTTCCCATACTCCTCCGAAACGGCTTGACCGATTCTCATGACATTTTGTGAGCATATTGAGTAGCTCTGATAATCGGCCAACAACTATTTTTAATCCCGCGCGGATGGAGTCGCGGGCGACAGCTAGTATAGATATATACGTACTTTTATTTTGTAAATTGTGAACAATTTCATTTTGGAAAAAAAATATTTTTTCCTTCTTTCTTTTTATTTCTCACTTATATCTATTTAATAAGCAATTATAAATTTTATATAAACAATATACAGGATGTGCATTTTTGTTTAGTATATTCCTGCTATCTCAACTCCATCGAATGTATGTTTGTTCATTAATATTATATCTTAAAAATGCATTAACATATCTGTTTATTTATTAATCGTTACACTCAATTTACAATATTGCTTTTAATTCAATTTAGTATTTTTCATTTAATTAGCTGTATTTTTTATATATATAATGAATTAGCATAACATTAGGTATGCAGGCGCAAGTTGCCGGCAGTTTCGTGACTCCGATATTAAAACTGTCGATATTTTAGACATAATAACCATAAAGTTAAATCAAAATCGAACTAATTCAGGTCGTACGTAAATTATAATAAACGATATTCGACCGGCGTCTTTGTCCATATTTTATATTTTATCTGTTTGATTTACTAAATTGATTATGTCTCTATATTAGTTAATATACGTAATTACATTTATAGCTTTTATATCCCGCGAACTGATCGTAAAAATATGATTCTTAATAGATTGATATTCTTCGGCATATTTTTTGTAGACGATCAAGGTTTCCGCGGATTTTTTTTCAGCAGCCTGTATGTAAGAAATGTTCAAATTATGTATTACATTAGCTCGGAATGTATGATTGAGTCATTTTGATGTCTATTGTTTTTACTTCAACATAAGACATAGTGTCATAGACAAGGATTACATAATCAGTTATTTTTTTTATAAATATTATGAGATGACATAGCATTGTTTACATCGTTCTGTAATAGCTTCATATGTAAATTTTTTTTTATAAAATTATTTAGCTGAATAGTTATTTTATTAAACACTTCGATGTATTATGTATGTTCAGTTAAAACGGTTGGTTACACTTAGAGATCAATTTTTCGATGTTGTATATAGATACAGTACTTAGACTTTTAATTGTATTAAAATGTTTTATCGTGTAATTTTTAATTGTATAGAATGTCTACACATTCTTAATCCTTTTACTAAATTGTTGGTCTTGAAATGTTTTATACAATCTTCAATAGCATTATGCAGCACTGACGTTATACAAGACTCTTAAACAAAAATATGTGATTTGCTCAAATCGAAACTATGGCGTTCATGTGAATTGTTTATGGTCATTTATTAAACTACTTAATTAGAATATAAGTTAATTATCATTAATCACTAAATTCACCAAAGTTAAGAATCAAACATTATTTCAAATATTGCAAGATGGTCCTTTTTTAGTTTATATCACAATCTTATGGACAGTAATACTTCTTAGTTATTTAGTTTGTCAACTTTGATTATTTAAGTTATGAACTATTATACTTAGAACACAGTTATATAAATATGTATGTGTCACGTTTATTTTGATAATTGTTCTTATTCACAAGATATGCTAATATTATTCAATATATTTAGTGCTTACCAACAACGCTTGTTCTCAGCATTTGCTTATTTAAATTTATCAACAACCTCTCGATGTCGATGACAAAGAAACTTTTCTTCATAGGAAATATTTAGTTAGAGTTTGATTAATGAAAACTCTGAATCAATGTCCAGATCATTTTATTGATTACGTTTCTCATCAATCGTCGGTGAAACTCTATTTGTAAGATTACAAAAAAATGCCAGCAATGAACAATGGATGCCATTTGTTTGTCGATGGGTGACGCAATCTAATAGATGAAAAAAATGAATTAACAAGAAATATCGATCAAACAAATGATCAAGAATCGCACATCCGTCTGTTTTCCGACGCGTGACTGATTTAATGACACAAACCGGCAATTAGCAAACACAAGATGGCGGCCGGCCCGCGCCCGCGCCCGCGTCCTCGCCCGCGCCTCCACGCCAATGTCAATACCGCCACAAATCATCCGCCATATTTATTTCGACTATTGAACATATTTATTCTTGTTCACCGGTTCCTTTATCTTATTCGTATATTAAACATGATCTGTAGTTTTAATTGCCGTTTCATCCTTTAGGATTTCTTTCCAATAAGCAATGTTGCTTATATGATGTCAATCTGTTGACTTATGTTCAGTGTTGCTAGGTGTTAAAAATCTTATACAACAAAAATTTGACGCAATTTAAAATGTTAAGAATTTATTGAAATTTTTTTAATATCTATAACTAATGTATATTTAACAAATCTAATCTAGCCAAATACTCATTGAAAAGTATATAAAAGGCCTACTTGGAATTGTCATAACAAATAAGCATGTCTTTATAGTTATGTAGTCCTTTACCGTTCAGCTTCCATTGTCATTCTAAACAAAGTTCAAAGCGAAATGTTTTTAGA